ATATTATTATGCCTATTTTTATAAATGAGGAAAATGTCTCAGAAACTCAAACTGGCTTGTTCATTATCAGTCAGAAATTATTAGAAAACAAACTAGATATGCTAACTCCAAAACTTACAATCTTTGCACTCTATGGGGAGGCACCAAAAGTGTTTCAAATTTCCATTGTGCCATACTGGGTATTATGCAAAGAGAATTATACAGTAACATTGTCATAGAATTATGGTCTATGTAAATTAATACTCATTTACCTCATTTAAACAGACCCATGAAGACAAAAAAGGATAATGAATATTACATACTGGATTTTACAAATAGATCATTATAGAGTTGATACAATAAAAAAGAATTTAAGGTTAGTGTTCACTTTAAATCTGTTTTAATTATGTATGAAGTGAATTTATCTATTAGAAGACTACATCTATGTTGTTTGTTGAATATATTCTACCTAATTTCTACAGTCCAAAATAGTAAACATAAGGGGCTTATTTCAAATCTTAATAATATAGGGCTTGTCCAAGGCCTAACTGTGAATCCATTAAAATTTATTTTCAGCATTCATTCATATTTCCTTTATCCTTCAGACTTCATTACCTAGACATATGGACATGTGTCTATTTTTCCCACAGGAAGGTTGATTTTTGCCATAAAATTACTGTTAGTTAAAGTATACTGCCTATCAATTCTATATAATATGCCAAGAAATAATTAAAATTTTGGACAATTACAGCTTTAAATTAGTTATCCTGTCTTATAGTGCTTGATTTCTCCATGTTGCTTTAGGATGCTACATGGAAATAAGCCACTGAGAATTTCACAAATACCTTGGTAACATTTTGCAAAATATTTTTAAGTTATGTAGAGGTGTTACGTTGATTAGTAAAATGCCTAAGAAATTATCAGCTAGAGTTCACATTCTATAGAAAGGAGGAAACTGGGGCACCTGGGTGGCTCAGTGGGGTAAGCCTCTGCCTTCGGTTCGGGTCATGACCTCAGGGTCCTGGGATGGAGGCCCACATGGGGCTCTCTGCTGGGCGGGGAGCCTGTTTCCCCCCCCCCCCATCCCTGCCTCTCTGCCTACTTGTGATCTCTGTCTGTCAAATAAATAAATAAAATCTTTAAAAAAAAAAAAAAGAATGAAAGAAAGGAGGCCAAAGTTCAGAGAATATCATTATCCTAGGATCAAAAACCAAAAAGTAATAGAGCCAGAAACAGAAGTTCCATTTCCTAATTCTGAGTCTACTTGTCTCCCCGTGGCTCTGTTTCCACTCTATGGCAAACCTACATCTGCCTAGTTGGATCAAGGAAAACAAGTGACTACTTTTAGTCCTCCAGGATAGGATGTCTGCTGTCTATGGGATATTCAGAACGCAATGGTTGCTGGATTCTAATTAACAAGACAGTTCTAAATGTGTACTAAAGATGTGCCTCATGCTATAGGTTGCATCCAAAGCCATTGTTTAATTGAGTGGTTATGGCAATCTTCCTAAATCATTGCAAATTATTAAGCAGCATGTGGTACAACTGGGACCAGGAAGGCTCAGGTGTAATAAGTGACTGTCCTTTAGAGTCATTTCTTCATAATAGGGAAGTAATTCATTAGGGAAATAAAAGAAACTTCAACTGTAGCAATTAAGCATATTGAAAAATATTTCATACAGAAAATCCTTTACTTCTTGTCTGAACTAAAGCAGAAACCGAAGACCCATTTCTGAAAAAGTTATCAAAACATGCAAATTCACTTAAAATAGAATTGTTCTTTGGCTCATTATTTACACTGTGGCATTAAAAACAGCCATTATTTTCCAAGAAGAACATTAGTCTTCCATTTGAAGTGTTTTTACTTAATTCAGACTTTCATCTTTGAATACAAAAACAAACAAGCAAACCTGAAAAACTCAAAGATAAACTTAGAAAGTATGATATTATTGGTGTTTAGAGATACATGACCTAAAACAAAAAGCTGAAAATCCAGGTAATTCAAAAAGCAGAAGAATTTTAAAAATAAATATGGTATCAGAAATAAGTCTATATTTACTACACCAAAGATAGTAAGTCAAGGACTAGAATGTCAAGAATTTAAGTCGACCTGGATCTATGGTCACCCTGCAAGCCTGTGGCTTTAGTGAAACTGATGACATCCTTGCTTTTCCTTCTCTTCCTTTTCTTAAAACCTGCATACATGGTGCTTGTCATATTCTAGTTTGCATACATAATTTTTGAAGCATGTTTTTCCTTTTTGACTATATACTGGTTTGTTTTTTAATGTTTTTCTGGACAATTACTATAGATGGATATACCAACAATTCAAGTTGCATTTTTTTGGTTATTCTATTATTTCAGCATTTTAGCATTAGTGAATAAATTTCACTCAAAAGCCTTTTTATTAACACTTGTTGGGTAAGAAATGATTTGAGGATATAGTATAATTTAAGGGTATCCCAAAATGGGTAATAAAATGTAAATCTCCAAAAGAAGAAGACAGACTGAAAGTTTACAAAGTACATGCTCACATTTTTTTTTTTTTAAGTCTAACATCTAACATCTGGGCATCATGATCAGGCATTTAATTAAGGCAAAGTGAATGTCAAGAATTTCACATGGATTCCATTAATCAGATTTGCGATTACATCATTTGAATTGGAGTCCTTTATTTTCCCACTTCATAAATATCTCTTCAAGGACCTGCCTGTGGGTGAAAACAGGACATAGAATTCACATTCCTTTGAAGAAATAGATGCAGAAAGGCACATATGCTTGTGAGGCCCTCTATTGCATACTTAGTGCTTTGGACTGGGAGAAAGTAGATTTGTTTTGAAATAGACCAGTCTCATACTTTTCTTAAATATGGACTTACCTGAAAAATGTTTTGGGGTTGAAAAAAATAATCATGGCAAGAGTCCTGAAAAGATTTCTGTAAACTGGACAACTTAGTTTAGTACTGTGAAAGGTAAAAGAAACAATATAATCTTAAATAAATACAGAAAAAGTATATGTCTAATATTTGTTAAACTCACTAATGCCTGAGACAGCAGAATGATAAAATTGATTCAAAGAGTATTTGAGGACCTGGATATTTATAGGGAAAGAAGAAGGAAAGCCCGAATAAGATTGCTACGTCAAACACAAAACAACATAATAATCTAGTCAACACAATCATATTTTCTACCAGGAAGAATTCATTTGTACCTCCACAAAAAAAAAAAAAAAAAAAATATATATATATATATATATACATATATATGCATATATATGTATATATATATATATATATATATATGAAACTTCATAGAGCAATCAGTAGGTAATATTTGAATAAATAAAGCTCCAATTCCCTAGATAATTAATCTTTGAGTGGTCCTGCAGATGATACATCAATATAACACTGAAAGAACATATAATCCTGCTTTGTCTAATTCCTAAGTTTTGAACGAGTTTTCCTAACACCATTAATAATTAGAATGATGATATTATATGTCTGCCAGAGTCTATAAAGATTGTGTTTATCACAGGAAACAGTCCTACAATTCATTAGTTGAGTTATGTGTAGAAAACACTGAGCCACTAATTTGTTTTTTTAAGAAAAGAAACCTATAAAATTGTTCTAAGGCAAATGAAGTGAAGACAGTCTACTCTCTAGCAGGAAACATCTCATACAAGGAATCCTCAACATGATTAACAGCTGACTTCTCATTAGACACCATGAAGGCCAGAAAGCTGAGGAATGAATATTCAAAATGCTGGAAGAAAAAGAATGACAGCTAAAAATCCTATAAACAGTAAAACTATCCTTCCTAATGAGACCTCATTCCCATACATTCTTCTAGGTCTTTAGACATAGTTTCTTTTAGTTCTTTGAACATATTTAGATAGGTGACTTCAAGTCTTTGTCTCATCAGTCCAATATCTGAGTTTTCTACGGTACATTTGTTATTGATGGCTTTTTTTCATATCAGGGTCAAATTTCTTACTTCTCTGTGTGTGTCATAAATTTTTGTTGAAAATTTGGCAATCTAAATAATATAATGTAGGAACTACAGAAATTAGAATCTCTACCTCCCCCGGGCTTATTCTTACTGCTGTTTGCTGCTGTTTGGTGATCTTTCTAATTCCATAAAATCTGTCTTCTTTGTCATTTTTGGCCACTGATGCCTCTGATCATTTAGGTTAGCAGTCAGCTAATAATTAGGCAGAGATTTCCTCTACCGCCTAGAACCAATGAATCTCCTAATTTTTGACAAAGGGCTCGATGTGCATGTTGGGTATGCCTCTGTCATGGAGCCAGGCAGTGGGAAACTCTGCAACAGCCATTACTTCCAGCTCGTGCAGAACCTCACGGGCAGCCAAGAGTGAGAACTTAGTGCCTTTTTGAGTTGTTCCTAAAATTTGTACACAACCCTGGGTGTATGCACAACTTTCTAGATCACCAGGGATATATTACAGCTTGCCAAAGCCCCTATGAACATATTTCCCAATTTTTTCCTCTTAAGCTTAGAGGTTAGTCTAATGTTTGCTCCAACTGTTCTCCATGACCCAGACAACCACAATGTTAACAATTTCCTGTATTGTTTTTTACAAATGCCCCAGATAAAAGACCTTTCTTTTCACAGTGGTAAATCTCTTGAGTCCGGTGAGATAAAGACAGTCTTGCAAGGGGGTTCTTCAAGAGAAACACTAAATAGGTCAGCCAATGACAGTTCTCTGGGAATGGGACTTTGAAGGAGCTTCAACTGTGTTCTGCTCCTTCCAGTGGCTGCCAGAGTGCTGGTTTTCACTGTGATTATGGGCCGTGAATTTTCAAGGCTACCACTGAGCTGGGGAGTGAAAATAAGAACAGCACAAGTTAAAATCCCACAAAACTTGCTGCTCTTACCGTGATTCCGACCTTTTTCTTGAATGAACTCTTTGTGAAGTGCTAAAATCCTTTAGTTAATTTGCAAAGTTATGCAAAAGTTGACTTTGATCATTTCTTTCCCCAATTTTCTCATTGCTTTATGGAAGAGAAAATTTTCAGAAGTTCTTGCTTTGCTACCTTGCTGATGTCACCTGAGGAGAGAGCTTTTGAAGAGAAGAGCAAAAAGAGGTAAGGGATAATGAAGGGTATGGGAAGAGAAAAATACAAGGAAGATAAAACTGGAAAATTCCAAGGAGCCGGTAGTGGCACGAATGTCACTTCTCTGTTCCTAAAGTTATAACTGCTTCTTAATCCCAGCCCTACTAGGAGGATATCAAGGCATGAATATTCTTACCCTATGTTAAGCATGAAACTCTACTGTTCTCTGAGTGTAGCTACCTTTCTAGTTAGGTAAGCCTCTGTCTCCACCTTCCTGCTCCCACCTGGCATCCACACCCAGGCTGGTTACTGCTTTAGTGTAAGGCACCAGCTAGAGATTATGTGCTGGTGCTGTCGCCTCTCAAGTGGAGGAAAATATGGGTATAAGGGATTGTCTATGACAGTGCCAAAGCAGAGAAAGGTTACTGCCCCAGCCACATTTGGGTTGTTGATTTCTAGCCCAAAGACATTTTTCTTCCTACAGGGACAAAACAAAAGTTTCCGCCCCCCCAGTCCATTTGTTCAGACAGTGAGAGTGACCATCTGATTCAAAGTCAGAACAGACAAGTAGAGCAAGGCTAATCTAATCCTGATGCCCCACTAATGAGTGAAGCCAGCGACACGACAAATCTGTGACCAGTGATAACATTATGGAAGATTTTAGACCCTATCCACAGGAATAAGAAGCCAATGAGAAAGTGCATATTTAAGAATTGAAAGAAAGGATAGGTTTGAATGGAAAAGAGCAAAGTTAAACGGAGTTTAGAAGTGTCTGGGTCGTTGAATTTGAGGTTGGTGCCAAGTGCATAAGAAAGACTTCTTAGTTGGCTGGTTCATATAGTAATTAGTTCTAGTTTTGTTCAAGTTGGTAGTTTTACAAAACAGACTCTATTAACTCATGCTATGTAGGCTAATTTGGTTGTTTCTAAGTCTTTAGTTAAAAAAGAAATTATCCCCTTTATAAGAAAGCAGAAATGCCAAAACCTGAATGTCTTCAACTGACCGTTTGCTGTAATTTTACTACCCAATCAATAATTCCCATTGCACTGGGTCTGCATAAAAACCATCAATCCACAATTCTATCATATAGATTCTCAATCTTAATCATTTAGACATTATAGGAAAACTACATTTAAATGGTCATTATAAAGGGATTTTTCCTACTTCTTTTGAAAGTTGGGTAAATATTCAATTGATATTTAACATAGAGTCTGATTTTATTGCAGAAATTAAACATTTATATGTGCACATTTTGAATCTGTGCTAGAAAATGCTAATCTCTCAGTCAGTACTGCAACTCAAGATTATATAAATAAAGTTTTCCTTGAAAAAATACTAAAAAATATCAAACTCTCCAAATAGATGCAAACGAATTTCTGCTTTTAAACTTTCTTGGGAAATAAAATTCTAAGGAAGTATGAAAAATTGAACAGTTCATTATCAATGAAAATGAACTACACAGTAATGTTACAATAAGCAGAATTTATTAAGAAGCTAAAATCTAGCAACTTCTAAAAGTGATAGGATAAAGATTTATCAGAAGTTTTTGTGTTGTGTTTTTGACATGATATTAGGTCTTTTGCATCCTAGGCAAATATGCATAAATGCATTTTTTGTCTTTCCCCATGAAAAACAGAAAATTGTTGGAGGCAATACATTAATTGTATTTTTTCTTGTGTCTGATTAATCTTGCATACTCAAAAAAGGAAACAGTTGGGATTACTCTTTATGCTAAATTGATAATAACTTTAAATTAATTACTGGTGTTGTTTGAACATGGATTTTAATCTCTTGATTGAAAAGACATTAAAACAGATCTTTAGCCACCTAATGACAGGAAACCAATTATCTGAGTGGATCACAGCATTGCAGATACTTAGGAAATATTCTTAACACAACCAACTAGTAAAGTTATTTTTGAGGAAATATCTTGGAGGTATCCTTTTTTCAATTACCATCAATAACTTAAGCCATTTCTAAATGCAAATCTAGCCACTTTTTATAAATTTGTGCAGTTCAAAATTTATCCAGAAAGGAAATAGTCAGTGTCTCTCCTGACTTGTGAAAAATGTCACAAACAGCTGGAAACTAGGCGGGAATGCAACATTACCAATTAAAGTAACGAAGCAAGATTTTTAAAACAAATTGTTTTGTATAGAAAACATTATTTTTCCACATAATTAATAGCCCTAATGGTATCTGCTACATATTCAAAGTGAGCAGAAAGACAAATGTTTCCTTAGAGAACACCCAGCCCAAATATCAGTAGATTATTTGACTATGTGACATCCCCAGAGGCAATTCTGAGCTGAGTGCACAACTGCCTGTGGAGCTCACCAAAAGGCCAGATGTTGCTACTAGAATGTTCCAAGCCTTGGCATCTGGGCCTTGGCAAGCCCCAGAGATAGCCTTGGGTCTTGTACCTATTGCTAAAATAGAAAATGAAAGAAAGTTCCACAATAGAGAGTCTAAATGATTTTGAAGAAATATACAGGAATGAAAAGTAATTCAAAGTAACACTAGCTTTTAGTAAATTATTGGTTTGTCTACACCACGTAAATACATGGGGAGAATGTCAAAATAGTTTCAAGGCTGGGAAAATCATTTTCATTGACTTTCACTGTGTTCTACAATAATTGAATCAATCACTTAAATTAGTTTCCGGAAACTGAGAACGCACATTTTTCATTAGTGAATAGCAATAACAGAAGGAAGATGGCCATAATCTTAGTCTCAGATTTCGGGTAGTTTTAGAGTTTTTGAACTATTTTTCATCCCATTTTTTTTTTTAATCTTACATTAGTCATCATACAATACATCATTAGTTTTTGATGTAGTGTCCCATTTCTATTTAATTTAAGGTTTGAAATGTAGAAGTCAAAATATGGCTGTTGGTACGCAAAAATGAATTGTTTTATGGATCTCATTTTATTAAGGTATTTTTTTGGGGGGGTTAAAATAGATTTATAGGTAGATTCTGAGAAATAGCATGGTAATAATGAGAACTTCGAAAATTCATACCTTTAACTTAGTAATTCCTCAACTCTTAGGAATTTGTCCTAAGAAATTAATTAGATATAGACAAAAATTTATTTGTATGTTCATTGTGAAGGTAAATAGCTAAATACCAGTATAAACATACAATAATGGGGTGGTTATACACAATAGAGTATTTTATACTATTAAAATAATTTTAAGGACTGTTTATTGGCATAGAAAATGCTCATGATATGTTAAGAGCAGGAAATAAAACTATATGAACAATAGAGCCCCAACTGGAAAAAAGTCAGGTATAAACTGATTGAAGACTAGAAAAAATATATAAAAGTATTAGGATTGTTATGTTTGGAGAGTGGGCCATAGGTACTTTTTTATTTTCTTCTTCATTAGTTAACATTGTATACGTATCTTATAAAGATCATATAGTAAATATTTAAAAATATTTTGCAAAAGAATTAAAACAGTATGTTTTATTATTGCATTAGCAAAATGTGTATAGTTTGAAACGGCAGTAAATCAACCACAACTTATTTAGACCTGAAACACTGAAAATTCTCTAGCTATTTTAGCTTCCACCCAAGTGTTGGGATTTCTGCTTTGTCTTTCCTGAAGATACAGTTAACAAATCCTGAGGACATAGTTAACAAATACAGTTAAACAATTCCACCTAAGTGTTGGGATTCTGCTTTGTCTTTCCTGAGGATACTACTATTCTGTTAGAAAACTGTATGTGAAAAAGAAAAGAAAAATCCATTTTTAAACCAAAATAATATTTCCGAAATACACTGAACAGTGCTGCATTAAGAAACAATTTCAAAAAAGAAAACAATTTCAGGATGATAAGTGTCCTTTTGTTATAAATTTGGTTTATCTTAATTATTCCAATTTTAGTATATGTGCTGCCGAAGCGAGCACCTCAATTTATTCCAAACATTAAATCACTTATAGTGTCCTTCCCAAGATACATACCCTGATCCATTTCCCCACACTTAACACTGAATATTAATTGTAATATCCTTAATGGGCTTTTTTTTTTAGTTAGAGATTTTCAGTATTGTTTATTTCCTATTACGAATTTACTTATCTCTAGTGTCTAAAGAATATGTATCATTATATCAATGTATTAGTTTATATATATTTCCAAACATACCTAGAATTTGAATACTTTAAGTATTTAATACCAATATCTATGTTTTCATACAAATCTTACGTTTAATCACAAACAGAAAACTCTTCCGCTTCTAATAGCCTCCTGGCAGCCGGCTTAGTATTTTACTTACTTGGGGTTTAATTTTCACTGAACAGATTTTTTTTTTTTAATTCCAAGCAAAATCAATGTAATCTACGTTAGATGCTCATTTAGCAATATTTCTGAGAGGTGGGGCCAACTTTCAACAGCGGCATCAAGAGAACAATACGTTAAATCAGATTCCCTCTCTTTCTGAGGATGGCAGTGTGAGCTCAGCTGGCCCCCAGTCCTCAGCCCAGCCCTCGGCAGAAGCAGTGAATTCAACCATAGCTACAGCACAGTCTGATCATTCTCCTGATGAAATTACACTGATCTAATTTGCACGCTGTGAAGACATTTGGCACTGGCTGGATGTGAGCCTTGACATCTTCATTGGAACTAAAAGTACACTAAGAACTGACATTACATTTCACATTCTCTTCTGCCAGGTTGTGGCATTTCATCCTCTTTAAAGGCATTATTTCAAGAACATTTAATTTGGCTTTGATATGCCTGCCATTTTGCTGGGTAGAACACACTGCGCCAGAAAAGCTCAGCTGTAATAAAGTTTGGCACCAACAGCCCACCATATACCTGCACCATCCTGTGCAATTTAATTGGCATTCAGTGGGTTGATAAATGGATTGGCTTAATGAGACAATATACTTGACATATGCAGGATTCTCCTGAGGAATAGGATTCATTTTTTCACTTCACACATCAACATGTTACAGATACCAACACAGTCACCTCTAACAGTGGTGCTGTAGCCAATGGATGTCTTCCACTGGGCTGACCAATAGCCCTGTTACCCTCCGACCAGCTCACGCCTTTCTCCCTCAGCACCAAGCCACGTATGACTTTTAAAAGCTATTTTATTTTGTTTTCTCCCAGACACAAGGAAGAAGATCGCCCCTGTCCCTGCTATTTACATAAATCTGGATTTTCCTATGAGACCAAATAGCCGTGTGGCCTAAACAGATTAGTTTTACCTGCTGTAAACCCCTATAAAACACAAGTAATAATGAATTCTAGGTATAACGACTGGCATACAATTATGCATAGGAGCAAGTAGGTGCCATTCTAGCCTCAGAAATACTGGTTTCGGGAATGAATTAATTAAAACAACAAAGACACACCATTTTTCACTCCACAGATTAGCAAAGATTAAAAAGAACCATAACGCTGAATGTTGGCAGGGGAGCGAGGAGACAAGTGTGCCATGCTCTGCTGGTGGGATTCTAAATTAATACAACTTTTCTGGAAGGCAAATGGTAATATGTATCAGAACCCATTTTTAAAAATGGGCATAGCCTTTTACCAGACACTTCTACTTCTGAAAATAGACCACAAAGAAATAAAGATATGTTTAACATGAATTTTCAACAGTGGTTATCACCTCAATTATAATAGGAAAAATTCTAAAACATCTAGGTGCCTTTAAAAAAAGGAGAATACCTAAATAAAATATGGAATACTTATATTCTAGAACCCTATAGAGCTAATAAAATAATGTAATAGAAATATTGGTCATGAAAAAAATGTTCTTGATGTCTTTTATGCCAAAAATGTATTACAAAGCACTAGTTTATTATTAGTCAACTTTTTTGGTGAATAATTTACATATAAACATATCTATAAATTCACACATGGAAAAGTCAAATATCAAAATAGTGACAATGCTTGCTTCTGGAGGTGGAATTAATCAGAGGTTTGTTTTTCTTGATGTTTGTTTTAAAATAAATTATTTATTTAAATGATTTAATTAAGATGGCATTTTAAACTTCTCAAGGAATTTCTTTCCGACAAATATGTGATATTTGGAAACTTTTTTTTACTGTATCCTAAGTCAAATTATGCCCACCTAATTCAATTCTTCTTACAGTTCAAGGTCATTTAATATTCTGTTGAATAGCTGTCCAGGTAGATAGATAATTCATCTTGGACAAATGAAGTTTCTTTCTACTTCTAGCTTCCTGGGATTTCTCATTTCGCTAGTAACAGCTTATTAGTAGAAAGCTGCAGATTTTTAGAATGCAGTTGACATTCAAAAGACTTCCGGAGTTTACAACTTCCAACTACAATCTTTCCTAAAGGGAAACAGCTTGGACAAAATTTTTGATTTTATGATGCTGATGATTTTTTATTTCATTTTTTTAAAGATTTTTATTTATTCATTTGAGAGAGACAGAACAAAAGAACTTGAGCCAGGGGGAGGGGCCAAGGGAGAGAGAGAGAAGCAGACTCCCCACTGAGCAGGGACACCGATGTGGGACTGGATCCCAGGACCCGGGGAACATGATCTGAGCTAAAGGCAGCCGCTTAGCTGACTGAGCCACCCAGGTGCCCCTGCTGATGATTTTTTAAAAAGATAGAAAAAGATAGAAAATAAGAATCCAGACATGAAAAGGTTATTTATTTAGATTTGCTAAGGTCCCATGGGAACCATATTGTGCCTGCCACTGGGCAAGATGGGGTACCTGCCTTCAAGTCTGCCCAGGCAAATAGAAAAGGGAAGATAATTGGGATGGAATGAAAGTGCTTTAAGGGGGAGATCAGCTTAGGGGAGCCAAAGTGCTCCATAATAACCAATTGGAAGGCTTGGTTAGCGGTTCGACCCAGGCAGGGTGAGGCGCCACGTGAACAGTGTCCAGGGCAGCTGCACGGCTGGCAGCCTCGCAAGCCTCTGCGCCCACACACTACCTACCCCTGGCTTCCTTCCTGCCTCTGAGGTGGGGAGGACGCCCACGAGCCACTGCTCCTCATTTCAACTGGGTGCCAGTTTGGTGCTCTCCATTCTGCTCCAAAGGAAGTTCCAACATGCAAATAAGCCCAAGGAAATGAAAAAATGAAACGGTGTGTGACAGTTTCTAATTACTGCATAAAAACAACATATGGAAACTTCATTGTCCATTTCATCGCCCAACATGTACCATCAAGTCAGACTTCTTTTACCCAAATCACTCTCTGGAGCATTCAGACCTGGTTTATTTCAATAAGAAGGTTTTTCACCCTTTTAAAAATTTCTGATGGGGATAATAGTATTTTTTGTTGTTGTTTAATTTTGAACATCTTGATTATTAGGAGGTTTTTAGAACCTTGCCTGTTTTCTATTTGAGTTTTCTCATTGTATTTCTAAAGTGAGTTAATTCTATTCCCCAGGGCTACTCACAACCTGGATTGATGTTGTCCATTCCTCAAAAGTTTAAATTAACTATCCGTAAGTACCTTTTATAAATGCTTGAATGGGTCCCTAATCACTTATTAGAGGAGGCAGGAGGATGGATTTGGCACTTGTAGTCTGCTTTGGTAATCTAAAAACATATGACTGGGGTTCAGAAAAGAAAAAAAAAATCAGGGAGACACTGTTTGGTAACTTAAAAAAGAACAATAAGGCAAATGAAAAAAAAAAACACAAAAATTAGTGAAAACAACATCCTTAAGTAGAAAGACTGAGAGGAGGGTCAAGAGATGGGAAGTCTGTCCCCTGCTTTGTCACAGATATACCTGTGTAATCCAAAGCAAATTCTTTACTTCCGGATCCGCCTTAAAATAGGATTTAGGCTACAGGATTTCTAAGATTCGTTTCCTCTTTCCTGCATTCTTAGACTATACAGAATGATTTAAATACTATTTGTTTTCTATATGGGACAAGACACTGCTCACCAAAGGTTGCCTGCACTTAAATGCTAACCTTGGAGTAAAGTTTAAAAGTTGAGGCAAGACCAAAGATGCAAGGCATATATCATGTGCCCATTTGCTAAAAGCAAAATCTTCCAGTTTCTCTTCTCATCCCCCCTGGCCACAGAAGCAGAGTCAGTTAATGAATCAGAAAAAAGCTGGTTACCAGATGTCCTGGCTTATTAACACGCACATCGCATTCTGTAATGGCATTCAACAGCAAGCTGTGTGGAACTGAGAGATGGCAAAGGAAAAGTTCTTCTCTCAGATAAGCTTCAAAATGTGGGTGTCTTTTGATAAATTTAAGGAATGGTTGCTGCACAATTTCATTTCAGCTATTGTCAGGCATTCTATCTACGGGGAGCTTGCCTGGTTTACAAGAGACTCTTCTCCAACGTCACTGGACAACATGTCTCTCTCAGAACTTCCTCCTTCCTCTAATCTGTGCAGAATTGCTGACATGATCTCTTATCTGTGGAAAGGAAGACATCGATAATAAATTTTGGAGCAATGTAAAGGAAAAGCTAATTCTGTTTGATTGGTTTTCACCACAGCTAATTTTAAAGCCACCCATTGTTCAGCTCTGCAGTCTAATTTTATGTTAATATCCTGAAAGTTGTCAAATCTTGGCAAAACCTATGCATAAATTACACAGAAAGTAGCTCACAGGAGGGGGAAAAGTAATGACTGTCATGGTTAGCCAAACCCATTAATAGTCTGACAAGCAATAACCCAGGAGCTCTGGTCAACTGCTGCAGACATCTGTGAAACTTTTGCAATTAATATCATTTTTTCCCTTTTTTTGTTGTTGTTGGAAGAGGTATCAGCTGTGAAATAGCATGCAACTGACTGATCATTATCAGCTCTGCCGGTAAGAGTTGGGTTTATCATCTTTCTTGGTTGACCATTGTCCCCCTTTTCACAAAAAGCCACTTTTTTTTTTTTTTTAAGTAATGCAGTGTTTTTCAGCACAAAGATTGATGGTCTTTAGAAAACAGTTGCCATTGGTGTATGGATACTCAAACAATAAAAAAATCAGATGCTTCAATCTCTAATTCATTACTGACTTTTTTCTTCCTGTGAGGTTGGAAAGAAAGATGGGGAGGCTTAAAATCTCTCTTCAAAGCTACACCCTAAGCCCTAGGTTTGCTGGTAGATCATCTTACTATGTCTTCTCCTACCTCATCCCACATTATTGCAGCACACCTTTCCTGTGGATAAGGGCTTCAGGGTAAAAAAAATGTATCCACCTTCCTGATGGTTAAAACATAATATCACTCTGTATGTGTGTTTACAGACACATACATAATCTACTGCTCATTTACCCAGAGAATATTGCTGGTAGAATTAGTTGAGTTTCCAGATATGCCTGGGAAGGCTTCTCCGTCTTTCCCCAGAGCTGTTATTGTTGATGCATCTGGCATAGTACCTGGCACTGAGTGGAAGCTCAAAAATATTTGTTGAATCAACGGGTAGATGGATGGATGGATGTTCCCTGGGCATTTTTCCATTTATGACCATTTTGTAGCGTCATTTATTGATTTTATGCAGAAATTTCTTGCTGCTAAAAAACATTTCCTGTGTGTAGGGTTTTCTCAGAATGCTGACGGAAGACCTGCTCTTAAAAAACCTTATAAGCAATCTGAAATGTCTGCCTTATAAAACCATTTGGTACCCAAACTCTTTCTGAGCTCCTGCTTTGTGCCAGGACCTATGCTTGGACATGGGTATAAGAAGATGAATAAAACAGTTTTTGCTATCATAGAGTTAGTTCACATAATGTTCAGAGGCAGCCATTAGAAAGGTGATTCCAAACAGAACATGGTATATGCTGTAACAGGTTTCTATAATACAGGTTTCAACAGACTTCAAGGAGCAGCAAATTCTACCTGGTACTGCAGGGAAAGACATCATGGTAAAGAGACATTTGGACCGCATCTCATTTAAAACAAAACAAAACAAACAAAACATTGGAAGAGAGAGTGAGGAAAGGTTTGAGGCTCAAGGTCTGCATGTGTCAAGCTATAGAGTCATAAAAGGGCACAGAATTTTAAAGAATAGTGAGATGGTCAGTGGCGAGAAGCAGAGGGCATGGGAGGATATGGCAGGAGATGAGGCTGGGAAGGAAGTGAAGTAGGATAAAAATGGCCTTGGTGCCATCCTAGTGACTGCATTGTATCCTGCAGGCAATGGGAGATGAATGAAAGGGAGCCTTTAACCAGAGAATCAACTCCACAGGTCTTGTCTATGATGGCTAGTATTAGTGGGGAGGAGTGTGAGAGGGGAGATGAAAGGGACTGAAGAATCACGATAGGGAGGCCAGTGAGAAAGTCATTTCAATAACCTCATAGAGAGATGATAAGAAAGGAGAAGCAACAGATTTTGAAGACATTTCTGCAGTAAACTGTCAAGATTGGGTGATTGATTGCATGTGGGGGTAAAAGAGCTATGATAGAGGATGACTCCTAGTTTTTGTGTAAATAGCAACACCTTTAATTAAGACAAGGGCACAGAAAGCAGCTGGCTGAGGTTGATGTAGGAGTAAAGAAACTGCAAGGATATAAGGGAAGACAATATGTAAATTGTCTGGAAATCAGTCTTTGGAAAATAATGAGTAGCCATACACCGAACCATTTCCAACTACCACCAATAAAGCCAACAAATCAAACAAGAACTCAATAAAATCTAACAGATGCTAATCAAAGGCAAATGCCATTAGAAAGACTTTTAAGGAATAATCAGGAGGAAAAACAACTAAAATATACAAATAATAACTGGTCCTTTGAACTTACAAAAAAGAGCTGATTAACAGGAAGCTGTTTATAGCTTCTGAGTTCTGAGCTTTCTGAACTGACTACTGAATGATATGCTTAATCTGACCCATTTCTTCTTCTTTCCCTAAATATTATAGTAACATTTACCAAATGAAAATGATATTCATAAAATCTAAACCCCCTAACAGTCACAGTCTTCAATTTGGCAACACATGTGGATTCCTCTCTAGCCTTGTCAGAACTGAACATATTCTGGACAAATCGAGAAGGAAGAAAGTATTGGAGCAATCACAATAAATGAATGCCAGTTGTCTGAAAAACAAGTCTGCTGTCATCTTGGGACACATCATTTTTAGAAACAATGACCCATTTGGCAGCCTCACACATGTTCCCATCTCTGAAGCTTTCCAACATTCCAGACCTTACTTTATTTAGGTTTGAGATTTTCTTGATTATAAATCTTCGGTGAAGCAAGTGCAGAATCTTAATTCCATTCAGTATTACTCATTCCATTCACACTTTTTTTTTCCTCATTGTGTTACTGACCCTTGTTTTACTGCTTCAGAGACCTTGTCTGGGCACCTCTTATCAAATGGCAGCAGTCTGGAATGTCTAATTATTTCACTGTTGAACTTGCACAGCTGTCCTAGATGGTCTGTTTAGTAGAGCTGGTCCTCCTGCTTTTGAAAACAGCCTTTGTTAACATGGCTTCCTTTATTAGAAAAAGTTACATTTTGGCTTAGTCAACCTCTGAAGGGCCCTGAGTTAGTACTATTCAAATTATCAAGCTGCACTTTTTTGTCTTCTTATTGACTTTCTATTGATTACACAAAGTTTATAAAAGGTAGGAATTTAGGCATCCCAGAACCCAGAAAATATTCTACCTGTCTCCCAGCATCTGACAATATCACTCCTCATTAAATTTTGACTTGAAATGGTTCTCTTGGTATACATAGGATTTTCCAGAATATGTGAACTCTAAAGTCAAAAGAAATTTCCTAGAGAATCTCTAGCCTGTAGACCTAGGTTGAGAGAGACTCTGGGAAGTTAAATGTTTCTCTTTTGAAAGGGAGGTCAGACTAAGTTTCAAGGAAAGGAAATAGGGTCACAGAAGTAAGAGTGGTAATTCAGTCAAAGAATAGGCCTTTGTTGGGGAATAACAAGGTGGTGGAGCCCCAGAAGCAAAGAGACCCTGTCTTCAGTGAAGGCCTTTGACTTCTGAACACACCAGCCCTTCTTCCTTTGTGGGGGTTTCTTCAATGTCAATTGCTCTTTTGTACATGTTTGCCTTTTAACCTGATTTCCATTGTATGGTGATGATTTTCCCTTCCCCATCTTTTAGATCTTTAGATAAAAGTAGTCAAAATGATTCTTCCAAGTTCTTTGTAGAAATAGCTTAATAGGCTGTTTTAATTTTTCATTTTATTCAGATTTTTCAGTTTTAGTTCTAATTGTATTGCTGTGAAATGAATGCAATGTTTTCCAAAACTATTATAACCAGAAGTAGCTAAGAATATGTATATTGTTCTTCATCTTACACACCACTGTTACAACATAGCTTATTTATAAATTTAGAATCCTTGAATAGTTATTAATCAAAATCATCAGAAATGACAAGTTTAAAAAAATTGAATCAACTCTTCCTCCAAAGATAGTTTACAGATATTTAGATAGGCCAAATAAAAATAATAAAATGTGAACAGTCCTTCTTTATAATTAAATGGAAAAAAGGGGTGCCAGAGTGGCTCAGTCAGTTAAGCGTCTGCCTTTGGTTCAGATCACGATCCCGGGGTCCTGGGATTGAGCCCCGTGTTGGGCTCCCTGCTGAGCAAGAAGTATGTTTTTCCCTCTCCTGCCCATTTTCCCTCTCCTGTGCTTGTTCTCTCTCCTTCACTCTCTCTCTCAAATAAACAGAATCTTTAAAAAAAATGAAAAAAAAATTACCACTTTTCCTACTCCCATTCTTCAGGAAAACACTAGAATTGAAGTCTCTGTTTTCAGATTATATGTTTGAATCTAAATGAAGCAACATTTTGGCTACGTTTATCTAGCTAAGAAAAATTAAGCTCAATTTTCAGCGCTTATGTATAGTTAGGGGGAAATGATTATAAATGGTATTTTGCAACTACATCAGTTTAACATGTATTCTTAAGTCTATGGATACTTTCAAGAAGCTGATGACATAATTGTTTGAGTAAACACATTCTTTTGAAAAATTATTACATTTCAAATAAAAAATATGTAGCATGTACTATAGTAGGTATCCCTTTTTCTCTTTAAGATGAATGGGCTAATTCACAACTTGCTGCAGGTCAACAAGGCCAAATGCCCTGAGCAATATGGAGAGAAAACCCATAATGAAATGGCTAAAGAATACAAAGGGGTCATTGATTTATAAAGTGTATAATCTTCTGGTCTCTGCTTTATATTATGGACATTCCTCTATAATGCTTTTATTTCTGGATCAAGTAAGTCAGCCCAAGTGGTGGCCATGTAGAGGAAGCCTGGGCCCCAGGTTTGAGCCTAGGATCAAACCGCTTTTCAGTAATTCAAGGCTATGAATCTGTGTTCAGATAAAACTTTTCACTTTTCTCACCAAAAATGAGGAAGGAGTAGAGAATGCAAGTTGCCATCTGATATTCCCCCTCTCCCTCTTCCTCAGGAACAAATATTTGTTTGGGGGTAGAAAGCAAGCAACCTACTTACAATTTTCTTCCTCTCTTACATGTAGGTGTGACCCAATGAGGTACTAGCCTATGAGGGGAAACAGAATTCTGGGTAGGCTGTTTAAAGGGAATGGATTCAGCAGAGATATTTAATGTTTTGTTCTCTCTTCCTAATGTTTGGACTACAGATGTGGGAATGGAACTCTGGCTGCCATCTGGAATTATGAGGTAAACTTGAGGGTGGAATGGGAGCCAAAAAATAAAAGGATTGTGGATTCTCAATGACTGTGGGGCTGTCATATCAGCCTTGACTACCTAACTCCAGATTTCTCTATATGAGAGTTTTTAAAGTCACTATTGTTATGGTTTTCTATTATATGCATCCAACTCAAGGTGGTAAGAGGAGGAGCATTATTTCATTTCTGCTCTTATTGGGAAGGTTCATATGACCTTTGGTTTCACACTATATATAATATATGGTCACCTGTTTCTCTTTTACTACTGATTCCCCCCCCTTTGATATAAAGTGGAAAATCCTCAGACTAGAATGTGTATGTATTGATTCCTATCTTAACATATTTAATCACAGAACCCTAGGAGACTACCAGCTGAGCAAAATGGCTTCTCAGACATAACACTGCCAGCCTTAATTGGAGTATAGAGTGGGGTGGGGCAGGGAAATATAGGCCAAGTGGGCAGTGCTCAGTGACAAAGTGTCGTAGAAGGCCAATCAACAACTAAGCATTTGTCTCCCAGAATCCTGTTCAGGGTCTACTTGAGTAAGGCAGTAATAACACATGCTAATACTGGAAGGCTGAACAAAGATCCTTAAATTATAAAATCTCTTCGGAGCTACTGTGTCTTTCACTTGTGAAGTATACAAGGACATAATTTCACTATTTTAAGATAAAAGAATTAACAATACTGTGGAAAACAATAGCTTCTCTTGCATTGTTTTGCTTTTTGTTATTGCTACTGCTACTTATTGGCATGGAATATGATCAAAATATACATAGAATAATAGACCATTGAAACTGGATACATCTTTTGTATCAGGATATTATAGGCTACATACAGGGGAAAAAAAAAAAAAGAAGGGAAGGGAAGGGAAAAAATACCCACAAATCTCAGAGTCCCCAGCTAGGGACAAGAATTGCTGATATAAATAATCAGGCAATGCCTGTTAGTCAACTTTTTTTTATCAGCTGCATCTAGTAATAGTCAAGTATAAACCTCCTTTGGACTCATATGCACAAAAAGTCAAACCAGAAAAAATGCTTATGCTCCATGAAGCTCTCAGATATCAACTTAAAAATGCCTGCTGACAGCAGCCTGGGTTAACTCCAAGAGACTAACAATTTCTGGCAACTGGATTTCAAAAGGGAGAAGGGACATGAGAAGGAAGTCCTTCAGAACAGATTACCACTGATATCCTTGCCGGCAAAGAGGGTGGTCACTACCTAACTTGTTTGTGAACTTGTGAGAGAACAGCATCTGTGACATCCTGAGTATTTGGGGAATGCTTTATGGGGATTTGGGAAACATAAAAAAAGAAAAAAGAATTTCAAAGCCTGATCAGTTTGTATGGCATTATTAGACAAATACATGGGTCATAAGGTGTTTCCTTCTACCTCCTACATATACTATTTAATAAAAACTGTATGAGGATAGTATTTGCCCTGATACTATTCTTTCTTCACTCAACAATGTTTTCTTTTTTCTCCCTCAATAATTCTCTATATGGTGATAAAATATTTTCTCAAAATGCCTAGTATCCAAATATTTCAACATATCCAGGGGCCTGATGGACGTTTTCATCCTGAAATCTCTTGTATCTAAAGTTATATAATTCTTGCCATGATAAACAAACATAATTGTTATTTTAATGGTCATTGACAATGCAGTTACTACACTGCCATAATTAAAAAAAAGTTTTTTTTCCTTTTTACACTTTTAAATCTGGTGCATTTCAGTGACAGCTGGAAGTCATTTTTAACTAGCTAGTTGTCTGGGGCAGATACAATGGCCCTGATGTTCAAGGTCTTATGGCTGATACAAGGTATATCTGTTTTTCTTTTTTTTTAAGATTTTATTTATTATTTATTTGACAGACAGAAATCACAAATATGCAGAGAGGCAGGCAGAGAGAGAGGAAGGGAAGCAGGCTTGCTGCTGAGCAGAGAGCCTGATGCGGGGCTCGATCCCAGAACCCTGGGATCATGACCTGAGCTGAAGGCAGAGGTTTTAACCCACTGAGCCACCCAGGCGTCCCAGGTATATCTGTTTTTGACATTAGGATCACTACTATCTGGCTGAGCTACCAATTCCTGATTTGAGATGCCACAACACAGGCCTATTTGTTTAGTCCTTCTGAAGGTAGGGGCAAAACTAGGTTAGGGAGATGGTATCAAGGTGGAGAGAGCAGACTGAGTTGACTTCTCTGTGTCTCTGTAATATTCTAAAAGGCTTATAACCTCTGGGGTGCCTGGATGGCTCAGTCAGTTAAGCATGTGATTCTTAGTTTTGGCTCAGGGTGTGTGATCTCAGGGTTGTGACACTGAACCCTGCATGGGCTCCTTGGTGGGTGCGGAGTCTGCTGAATATTCTTTCTCTCCCTCTACCCCTTCTCCCAGTTCTCCCTTTCTAAAATAAATAAATGGGGGAGCTTTCAACCTCTATTTTTAGTTACCAGGGATCAAGGCCATTATTAGAAATGACCATTGACAGTATACAGCCTTCACCTGGACTCTTCTCCTTTGTTTAAATTTTATTTGTTCCAAGTAGCATTTTCCTTAAACTTCAAGGCCTAATGGAATCTAGTGGAAGAAATAGAAGTGAAAGTACCTAGCTTTAGCACCCCAGTAGAACTGCATACAATGGGGAAAAGATAATTCTCCAAAGAAAAGAATGAGAAGAGTGGAGAAGGGGTGCTAAATGACCAAGAGGCAGTAAATGTCTACCTTCTTTTTAGCTGGAAAAAAAAAAAAAAAGCTTACTAAAAAAATTGAAGCTGAAGAAAATGGTTATCTTTATACAAAATACAAACAAAAGAAACTAAACTAAACTAAATAAAAACAAAACCTGTCTCTGAGTTAAAAGTAGTGCTGTTAAATTTTAGCATCAGGACATTTCTTTCTTTTTATTTTTAATTTATTTTTTAAATTTCTTTTCAGTGTTCCAGAATTCATTGTTTATGCACCACACCCAGTGCTCCATGAAATACGTGCCCTCCATAATACCCACCACCAGGCTCACCCAACCTCCCACCCTCCGCCCCTCCGAAACCCTCAAATTGTTTTTCAGCGTTCTCCCCCTCCAATTTCCCCCAACTCCCTTCTCCTCTCCATCTCCCCATGACATCTGTGTTATTTCTTATGCTCCAAAAATAAGTGAAACCATATGATAATTGACTCTTTCTGCTTGACTTATTTCACTCAGCATAATCTCTTCCAGTCCCAGCCATGTTAATACAAAAGTTGGGTATTCATCCTTTCTGATGGAGGCATAATACTCCATAGTATATATGGACCACACCTTCCTTATCCATTCGTCCGTTCAAGGGCATCTTGGTTCTTTCCACAGTTTGGAGACTGTGGCCATTGCTGCTATGAACATTGGGGAACACATGGCCCTTCTTTTCACTACATCTGTGTCTTTGGGGTAAATACCCAGTAGTGCAATTGCAGGGTCATAGAGAAGCTCTATTTTTAATTTCTTACGGAATCTCCACACTGTTCTCCAAAGTGGCTGCACCAACTTGCATTCCCAACCTTTTTCTTTCTTTCAACTATTCTTTCTACCATGAGATTCTGAAATAAAACTCAGCAAAAAATACCAAGTAATTCTAAAGATACTACTAGTTTGCCTGACTGGTCAGGCTCCAGTATCACTCACTGTTACTTATTTACTTAAATTTCTAAGCTATGAGGATATAGTTTTGAAGTCTGGATAAACTTTAGGTAAGTGAAGGGGGGATAAGGCTGGGTTTGGAAGACTCTCTAGCTACAGAAAGATGGTGCAGTTGGGCCATGGAGTAATTTCTAAGAGATTTTTGGCATCAAACAGAAACGTGACTGGAGAGGCTTAAAGCATAAGTACTTAGGAAAAACATATGATAGAATCATAAAATCCTATGGTCATGACAGAGTTACATTGATTTGAAACGGCAAGTACTTGGCTTACAAACTCATCTGATCTCACCCTATACTCAAAATATGCATCACAGATCATTCAAGATACTATCTGCTGATTAGCTGCAGAGAAAATTGCCCATTGTTCTATCCCTCCAAGCCCATCTACTATAACAGCGTTCTCATTATCTAAAATTTCAAACTAGATCTCTGAGACTCCTGACAGTCCTGCTCTAAAAGCACTTATTCCCCAGCATTATCCTCTGCTACAAGTCACGGTGACCCTCTTACCATTTTCTTAAACACATCTCCATCATTCACTATTTCATGACTCTGTGTATGTTGTTTCTTTTTTCTCAAATACTCTGATATTCTTACCTACTGGTGAACTTCTTCCCATCCCTCAAAATATTTTGTCCCTTTTTTATCTTCAAGAACTTCCTGAATTCCATCAAATTGAGTTTCTTATTCTTATCATCTGAACTCCTATAACACTTAGCGTTTCTCTCTCTAAGATAACTTTCATTGAGTTTTGGTGTTTATATATTTGTGTCCCTCATTAGGCTTCATGACACTTGAAGGTAGACTTAAGTCATTATCATCTTCTTCTTCGTCCTCCTCCTCCTCTTCTTCTTCTTCATCTTCTTCTTCTCCTTCTCCTCTTCCTTCTCCTTCTTCTTCTTCCTCTTCAAGATTTTATTTATTTGACACAGAGAGAGAGAGAGCACAAGCAGGGGGAGCTGGAGAGGGAGAAGCAGGCTCCCCAGTGAGCAGGGAGCCTGATGCGGGACTTGATCCCAGACCCAGCGGTCATGACCTGAGCCAAAAGCAGACGCTTAACCAAATGAACCACCCAGGTGCCCTGTCTTATTCTTCTTTTGATCTGCCCTAACTTGAAGACAGTCTGACCACTGTAGATTCTCAATAAATGATACTGACCGAATAAATGAATATCATCTGACTTTCGTAGCCATCCTGCCATAAGCTCTGAGAAAGGAGGGGTCTTTGATTTGATGTTACATTTCCCTTCCTATTGAAAAATACATATTTTAAGATTGATGTGTATAGTATATGAACTACCTTCCCTTGAAATATTATATAGGAGTTTATAGTTTTGCTTGATTCAGCTTGCTTTAGCTTTATTTGTATATTGGTTTTTATAAATGTAAATTAAAGTGTTATGCTATTTAGGGAAGCTGAGATTAATCAAAACCCCTGTGCTTTAAATGGAATATCCATATTTATTACTTGAATTATATATAATTCTGTTTATTTTAACAACATTTTTCTGGATACATCTTTGAATCTCATTGAGTAGATGTCCATTTTCAACCCCAACTCATCATATAGTATTCACAGGAGTGTTTTGTTTAAAAATGCACAAAGGTATCTTATTAAATAATGTCACAAACATGAAGTTCATTATTATGCAAATGCCATCCTTGGAACAGATTTGTTAATTGTAACTCATTTGCATAATTAATGAACTCCCAAATGAATTATGCCTTTACAGATTTGTGCAGCATTGTTTTAAAATAAATTATAAAATACATGTCAAAGGAAGAGTGCTTTCTGGGTTCCCACAGCATTGTTTGAAAATTAATTACCAAATGCTTGTCAAATTAAAATGAGTTTGTAGTTTTTACAATGTTATTTTAAAATTAATCACAAAATAAAATGTCACTGCATTAAAGTAAACAACTTGTTATTTTCTCTAAAAGAACCACAGAAAATAGCATTTTAACTTCAATTACATTGTTTGGTATAGTGATTCTAGTGTTTTATGCATTTCATTTTTACACTGTGACTTAACAAAGTTGTTAGCATGTTAATGTTTTGGTAAATTGAGATTTAATTTAATTTTATTATGTAGCTTATTTTATACAGTTGATGATTAATGCATTGAATATGAACCCAGTATGGGTTTGTTCATGATAAATTGGGAGTTTAAAAAACATTCAAGGTCACTTGAATCTGTTGTATGAACAGTATTCTTAAGATTTGTTTTATTGAAATTTTGCCTGCTGCCAGTTAAAATGATTAAAGGCATATAGCAGGGCTGTCTTTCTACCTATTCTGACATAAACAGTAGCATAATTCCTTTCTTCGGTACACTGAAATCTTTCGGTCCCCCATGCTACTTGTTTCATTCTGTGGAAATTGTCTGCTATTACCCAGAATCCCTAATTACACCCCCAGTCCTCTCCAGTCCACACGGAACCCCCACTATCCAAAAGCTGGATGGAAAATGCCAGGGTACTTAAACAATGATTTGACCAAAATGATTTTCAAAACAAAAGATTTGGTAAACAGTTTTTAGGAATTAATGTTGCCAACCAAATACCCTTCCAAATATTAAGATACAAGAATAAAAACAATAATAATAATCCCTGCATAGGGGTATAATGCCTAATAATGAAACAGTCACTTCAGAAGAATTTTGTTTTGTTTTGTTTTTAATAATAGTATCCTCCCTTTGCTCATCTCTCCTTCTTCTTATTTCCCAAAGCAGACCAGTTGTCTGCGGTTTACATTCTATCTTGTCAGTTCTTGACCACTGAACATTAATCTATGGGGGAAGGCCTTTGTTTGATATGATTGCAACTATGCAAATCGATACCAACTAGACAATAATTCTTAAGTTAGATGATAAGCCATTTTCTTTCTGTTTTTTTTGTTGTTGTTGTTCTGTATATAGCTGCTTTTCTAAACTCCTATGAACTATTCCTTTTGTGGAATAGTTTCCTTTTGTGTAAACTGATAAACATAGTAGTCCATTTTGAAGAGGCAATATTTCTTCTAATTTATAACTGGTCTGTGAATAAGAACCCATTAGCTCATGTAGATTAAAGAACTTAAGCTTCTGCCATCTCCTATTCAATTCTGGCACAGATATTACTCAAACACTTAAAACACATATATTTTTACAATCAAATCAAATATAACTGCTGTTGTCAAAGCTCTGATGCTACCCTAGACATGTTCCTTTGTTTAAATCCCTCAGGATAGTTTTACTTGACATCCTTTTTGAAATTCTATATCATTATGCTTACAAGTACAAGACAACAAAACATCTAACAGACAAACTATCTCATAACTAACATTTTTAGTGAACCAATAACCACATACTGAGAGCATAAGTGAATTTGTACAGATGCAGGATCTTTGAATTAATTGAATTAAATTAATTTCCACTGAACTAAAGCAGAAGTGTTCTAAGAGAGAATATGATCCACAGTTTATGTTCTTCAATGAACTGTAGTCTGGGAAGCAGTTGTAGACATTCCAGTCTTTGGAAAATTTCATATTGATGAGAATAAGAGTAAACAAAGACATAATTTTGTTGACTGAATGTCAACTTTTTGTGAAATTCTATGAAGATCACTGGTCTTCTCTTAATATAATCTTCATTTTATAAAAATGCATTCAGTTAGGCTTGAATTTAGGCTTTGTAGACTGCATTTATTTCTGTATTTTATTATACAAATTCCAGAATTTTAGGCTGAATTCATTTCTGCATTTCATTATACAAATTCTAGAAACATGGATAGGATTGCTATCCTGTGAAATAAATCAGAATTCAAGCTTTTTTTAAAATTAAAACCATAGCTTTTTAGCTGAGTTGGGATGTCAATTTATACAGAATGTCATATACATTGGAGTTATCAGAGTTGGAGGAGACAGTAGGGTTTTTCTTTTAAGGTCTCCTGGAGGCCTTTCCAGATCCTCCAAAAGGGGCCCTATTGGTTTTTTCAGGAAGTTTTGCCAAGCAGCTTTATTGTTCAGATCAGGATGAGAGCCCATGAAAACTAAATCTCCCTTTCCTTTATTTCCATGAGTCTACCACAAAGAAGTAGGTTCCGTAGTGCTTTGTTAATCAATGTTATCCTTGAGACTGCAATGTTTAGAAGGTTAATTTTCTACAAATTTTGTTCTATTTATCCAAAATCTACTCTTCTTGTATCCTTTCCTTGATGGCATTTCTAGGCATAAAATATATGCTATTCCAGGATTCCTGGGTGGGTCATTTGTTAAGCATGTGCCTTCAGCTCAGGTCATGATCCCAGGGTCCTGGGATCAAGTCCTGAATCAGGCTGCTTGCTCAGCAGGGAGCCTGCTTCTACCTCTGCCTGCAACTCCTCCTGTTTGTGCTCTCTCTCTCTCTCTGACAAATAAATAAATAAAATCTTTGGGAGACAAACTGAGGGTTTGGAGGGGGGATGGGGGTGGGGTGAGCCTGGTGGTAGTTATTGTGGAGGGTATGTATTGCATGAAGCACTGGGTGTGGTGCATAAACATGAATTTTGGAACACTGAAAAAAAATACTATTCTAAATTTGTAAGAGATATATATATATATATCAAGCTACAATTAGGAAATTTACATTTCTCCCCAAACAAGTGATAAGTTACTTTTGCATTATCACTGGGCATCATTGGTCGTTTCCTTCATAAATAATTTTAGAAAATAAATCATCTTAATTGTAAAGAACAGAAATAATTCTCTCATACAACCTTAATACAATATTGCATATATTTAAATAACTAGAAACCTTATTCTCTTTGATGGAGAGAAAATTTTAAATATTGCTCAGTATTATGTGGGTAAAATAACTGAATTGTATTTTTACTTTTTCAATTACATGTTTAGGCTATATAGATAGTTAGAAGGAATAATAGGCATTCTATGGCTTTGTCAGTAACACAGAATTTCATTTTATTTGTTTATTCTCTTATTTTTGTGTGTACTCCTTTCTGAATCTTAACTTGTAACTGAATGACCCACAGACTTACTGAATATTCATGCATAGGATTTGAGATCTTTCTTCCCTAGAGCTTAAGCTGAAAGACATTGTTGATATATGTCCACTGTGACATATGACACACTTTGCAGTTATTTTTAATTAGATATAAAATATTAATCCATTTGAGTTTGTGTATAGAATGTATTCGGAGGAGGAGGAGACTTGAAGAGGTATATTGTGACAGAATTTTAATTTATTTTAAAGAGAAGTCACATTAACTCAAAGGCCAAAAAAGGTCTGTCTCTAATGGCTCCCTTTGTGATCTAAAGGAGGGAATTCCCTATAACTACAACATACAGAGAAGACTAAAATCCCTTTCTGGTTTGGTTCCTCATACTAACCCAAAATAGATAAAACAACTTGTATTCTCCTGGGCTTGAAAAGCAAGAAGCTGAACATATGACTCTTCTTCAAATCATACACTTGTGCTACTAGGGATATCACTTAGTGCCAAGTTTCAGTGAAGAGAATGTAAAGCATCTAAAGAAATTATGTTCGTGGCTGGACCCCTGTCATGCAATTTCAGGTTTCCTTCTGAAAAGAGGTCTAATGCTCAAATTTAAAGAATTTGTTAAGTCTTCTCTGCTGAGACTATTAGATGACTATTATTAAGGAAAAAGAGTGACTTCCAGTAAATGGTATTTTAGAGATGCGATTATTTAGAATTCCAGCTGGTCAATACCACTGACTTCTTAAATCATCGAGTAGCATCAAGAACTTCTATTAACTTAGGCTACGTGTATACTGTGAAGACTCTGTGTTCATGAGTTTGTCAGTGAACGTTGATCTACCCATTGTGATTCTTAAATGTTTTTTAATTTCTTCAGTTTGGTTCTATCAGCTAAAATGGTGGAGAGTGGGGGGAAGTAGATGACAACTGACATGAGCAATTATCATTTGGTAAGTTCAGTGATGATGGTGTGTGGAAAGGCTGCTAGTACAGCCTGGAGAGAAGGGGGTTAGAGAAGCCCAGAAAGTGCCCAGAAAGTGACTTTCCCATCTTCATCTACTTAACTCCTATTCATTACTGAGATTTCAACTTCTATGTAACTTTCCAGGGAGGCGCAGGCCACAGGCCCAGTAGTTACGTAGTGAGTATCTGCTGAGTACATGGAAGAACTGTGATTCATGCTGTCCTTTGGGGCTGCACTCTCGTGAAGAAAACCCTGTGAAGAGCTTTTGCCCTTTAACTGGAAAAATGTACCAAGACTAGAGATTTTGGTTTTATTTTTTTGTTGCTGTTGCTCCACACTGCGGAGAGATCTGAGTGGCAAATGAGAGCTGCAACCTTTGATGAAGTTCTGCCTATCAGAGGAATATATCAGGTCATATTGTATAAAAATAGGGATTTCAATTTCTTTTATATTTAGATATGCCATTCTACGATTGTTTCAATACCTAAACATAGTAAGGCTAAGAAGAACTTGGAAGCATATGCCAACATAGTGTTTTTACCAGTGTTTTGAGGAGTATGGCTATTTTGTATAACCAACATAGCACAGTAGTTAAAAGCATGGGTACAGAAATACGATATGACTTACTTTCTGATGACTTCAGATCCTTTCCTGAGGCCAGATTCTTTCTCTGTAAAATGAGCATAATAGTGTTACCAAATAGAGTTATTGTAATTGAGATAAGGTATGCAAAGCACTTAGTACTTATTTTTAAGAACAGGAGATAGATTTTTAGCTATTCTTTGCTTTATGAAATGGCAATTATGGTTTTCTTCTCGTGTAGATTCGACTGAAAGCTAATAGTGTATATAATTCTGCACTGACTTGATTTTATGAAAGGAGAAAGAATTTCAGCATTTAATTGGGTGGCTGGAGTGGGAATGATGACCAAATAGAGTACAAACCAAGTCAGGAATGTAATGTGTAGGGAATCTCCATTAAATTCCCATTCAGAATTATTCAGGGAATCTCTAAAACATAAAGCATACAGGATCACTTCAGGGTTTAATTGGTGGAGAATTTGGGCTGACTTGTCTTTACGAACTAGTGTAACATTCTCTAGTATTGTTCCCACATTTACCTATGATGCAGGGTGCTGGGCTACTGTTCCAGTCTTGGCACATTTTTCTAGTTAAAGGGCAAAAGCTCTTCACAGGGTTTTCTTCACGAGAGTGCAGCCCCAAAGGACAGCATGAATCACAGCTCTTCCATGTACTCAGCAGATACTAAGTAACTACTGGGCATGTGGTCTGCACCTCCCTGGAAAGTTACACAGAAGCTGCAATCTCAGTAATGAATAGGAGTTAAGTAGATGCAGATGGGAAGGGTGTAGGAGAAGGACAGGGACCATACTGAGAAAACTGGACATCTGAAGACATTTCAAAGACATAAAATTTGCCATGATGTAACTATCGTTTAGAATAAATCTGATATGCTTGTAAATAAGATATCTAACCAAGAAAAAATTGGAAAGATGATGATGATAATAATAGCTCATATTCATCTGGAACCTACTATAGTAGGGCACACTGTTTTTTAGCATATTGCAATACACCACTTCATATAATATTCATAACAACCCTAAGAGAGAAATATAATTAGTAGCCCTGTTTTACAGACGAAGTAATTTGGTCATCGCCACATAGTGAGTAAGTGGCAGAACTTTGAACCCAGGGTTTTTAATCCCAGAGCCCAACTGACCTCTGCTGCCTTCAGATTATGATGGGCTGGGCATAATTAGAATTTTAGTCTTTATCCTGTAGGCCAGGATTCTCCATGTATGTGTCCCATCCCAGACCTACTGAATCAGAAACTCTGGGGCAGGTCCAGCAATCCATGATTCCATAAGCCCTGCAGGTGAATCTGATGCTCAAGTTTAAGTTTAGGAACAGGGTTATAGGTAATAAGAAATTCTGAAACATTTTTAAGCAAAGAAGTCATGATGTTTCCTGAAAGATGGTCATTCTCTTATCTACATAAAGGAAAAGTAATGGGGTTAGGTCTGATGGTTCTTTCTGTAGTGAAAAAAGAACCAAGGTTTCTCATTTTCCCCTCTGCTCCTATAAAGGGCGATACCTACTCTGTTTCACTTAACACAGAATGAAGTTAAAAATAAATGCTACTAAAAGTGGCAAGACTACAGAGTAATGCAGCCTTCATTAGGGGACTTTGACCTGACTGCTGAATTGAAAGAGATGAAAATATCCTCTGTGATCTTACTGCAAGAAAAATGCCACTAATGAGATAGTTGTGACTTAGATAAATTTTAGTCTATTAGACTTGTTTAGTTTTATGAGCAAAAAGAGTGCACATAAAATAGTTATGATTTCTTCTCATTCCCAGACCAAAGGATAGTTTTCACTAGAAATAGCTGTAGTAATAAAAATTAGACATATATTTTTCCAAAATATATTCCATGGTTTTAAGAGTTACATAAAATTTTCACTCCTCTAGAAAGGACCCAAATCTTAATATGAATAAAAATCCAATAACTCTAGCCTTTAGAAAGTCACATTCCATATGAACTGTAGAACAGAATGGTAATTTTAAATTTGACATTATTTTGTTTCTTTCAACTAAATTATATCCTTTTCATTAACTTATAGTGAAGTTTTCTTCCCCTACCAGTTTTTATATTTTAATGCTCTTTAATCTGGCTTTCAAGAATTATATTTAGGGTACTCTGATTTATTTATGAAACATTAATTAATCTAGATACTAGAAATTGTGAAAATCTTTTCAAAAAACATCCATTTAAAAGTTGATTAAAAAATCACCAATATGGGGGCGCCTGGGTGGCTCAGTGGGTTAAAGCCTCTGCCTTGGGCTCAGGTCATGATCCCAGGGTCCTGGGATCGAGCCCCGCATCGGGCTCTCTGCTCGGCAGGGAGCCTGCCTCCTCTTCTCTCTCTCTCTGCCTGCCTCTCTGCCTACTTGTGATCTCTATCTGTCAAATAAAATAAATAAAATCTTTAAAAAAAAATCACCAATATGAAAATGACTAATAATGTCTGTTCTCTTGAGGATAGAAGCTAATAAATACTTGAAAATTTAACAGAGCAAATGACTAGTCTTCCCTTTAGCTTGACTTTGAAATAATCTTAAGTATTAAAAAATGACTTAAGCTGATGGCTGCCCCCCTCCAAATTACTATAAATTAGGGTAAAGAAAAAGAGATTTCCTACATATCATATGGCCTAGGGTAAAGAAAAAGAGATTTCCTACATATCATATGGCCAGGACTTGACATGTTTTGATTTATTTTTAATTTATGGAAGAAAATGCAGGCTTTCAAATACATGCATACAATTTTATATTAACATGCTATGGTATTTATTATGTAATAAGTCAAATACCTCTTTAAGCCAACTTAACAATTTAATGAACAAGATATTCATTCTTGTTAGCTGAAGAATACAGGGAGAAGAGACCACTCAAGGGAACTAACCCCTTGCTTCCTTCTTCCTGGAATATTTGCCTTCTCTCTCCTCCTCTTACTTTCCTCACTTATTCTGACTAGCTCTTCATGACTCAACCTTAACACCATTGCCCCTTTTCCATACAACCAGGATAGATTTCTGTAAGCTCTCATATTTCTCTGTACTTCTTTGATGCATGTATAGCAATTATAATAAAAATAGTAAACATCAGTCTTCTCCAAAAATGTAATCTCCTCTAAAAATTTAATTCCACTAGGACCGGAAGCATTTCTGACTTATTCCCCGTTGTATCTTCAGCAAGTAGCAGAAGAAAGGAAGGAAGGCTCATATAGGGTAATGGCTCCAACAGCAAAAAGAGAAATGAAGACCAGTGTTCTAAACTAAGCCTTCATATGATTAAGTATCACTGCATTTAACTACATGAGCTCAAAGCACTCTAGCTTGACCAACACCTCCATGCTTTGGTAAATTATCATATGCTTATTAATAATGAGTGAAAGGAGACAAAGTTATCTGCCATGATTCAAACTGACTAAAATATAACTTGGCGATCACAAGAATAAAGAAATGCTGAGGAAGGACATGCTGGGTATACTGACTCAGGAGAGCCATAAAAAAAATCATTTGGCTGAGGGGGAAATGGTATAATTGATCTATACAATTAATGATCAAATATTTCCAAGTAGAGACCACTCTGATCTGACGTATGGCTCCTAAAGGGAGTATGCCGAAGAAAAAGTAAAATGAGGATCATGAAGGATATGTCTACACACGTGAGCCCGTTGCCCACAGGTATGCACACTGCTTTCTATTTCCCACAGCTAAGAAATCAGTTCCTGAAAGCAGTTGTTAAAAAAGTCAACTTGGGGCTCCTGGGTGGCTCAGTGGGTTAAAGCCTTTGCCTTAGCTCAGGTCATGATCTCAGGGTCCTGGAATCGAGCCCCGCATCGGGCTTTCTGCTTGGCAGGGAGCCTGCTTCCCTTCCTCTCTCTCTGCCTGACTTTCTGCCTACTTGTGATCTCTGTCTGTCAAATAAATAAATAAATAAAATAAAATCTTTAAAAAAAAAGGAGCCAACCTTTCACTCAGATTCTCTAGAAATCATCTTCTACTTCTAATTCATTCAACCACATGCAACAAATATTTCTGTAGAACCTACTATGTGCCAGTCGTGTTCTAAATGCTCAGGATACTTCAGTAACAAAAGAAGAAGCTGCAGATAAGAAACACCACTGTGGTCTGACAGTAGCTACTAAATATAGAATAAAGACTAAAGGATAGTAAGTACTAAAATTTATAAAATGTGATCCCTATTCTTGAAATGTTCATAATCTTGAGCGAAGGAGGTTGATACACATGAAAATTGTGACCTACCATATGAATAGCACATGACAAGTATCAAATTGCCTGGTGCGGTGACTCAAACACTTTAGATGTTGAATACATGGGATTATGTCAGTGAAGAGACCACTTTGAACTTGGGGGTGATGGAAAGCTTCATGAGGAACTATCTTGAGTGGGCCTCCCCGCCAAGTTTAGAAAAGCAGACAAGAGGAGGAAAGGGGAAAGGTGAATGCTCTCCAGAATCTCATGTAAAGAAACTGTCTTGAGTGGGCCTCCCCGCCAAGTTTAGAAAAGCAGACAAGAGGAGGAAAGGGGAAAGGTGAATGCTCTCCAGAATCTCATGTACAGAAATTGTCTTGAAAACCATGTACTGTCTACACAGATCAACTGAGCACCTGCTATGAGCTGGCTATTATAATATGCTTGGCAGAGTGTACAGTAAAAGTAAAATTCCACCCTCAGAAATTTATGGACTAGTGAGGAAGTTGTAAAAACGTGCATTAGTCACTAAAATACAAAGTAGAAAGTTCTAAGAGTCATAAATAAGAAAGGTGCTGGTAAAGTTTTATGACATTTTAGAGGAGGGAGATATTCACTTACAGCTGGTTATCAGAGAAGGCCTCATGGTAAATAGGCGGCATTCAGTGGGACCTTATGAAATATGAATGCATGAAGGAGAAAGTGATGTAATGGCAGATTTAGGAAAGAAGCCTGATAAGCAAGTGAGAGAGCTTAGAAAGCGGGAGGGTCATTTGAAGGCTTATTGCAATAGTCAAGGTAGGGTAGTCTAGGTAAAGACATGAATATTTATTGATTGGCTTTAAAATTATAACTGGCCACATCTACTTTCTAGTTCCTCTACCATCTCTTATAAATTATTTTTCTATTATTTGAACCACAAAACCATAATATAACATGAGGTTTTCCTCACTATTTAACATTAAGCATTTACCTCCTATTAGTTTTCCTGCTTTAGTTTTTGAATCTTCAGATACTTTCAGTTCCACATTTCATCATCAGAATTGATTAATGTTCACAATGTTTCACATTATTTTTACTATTACAACCAGATTTTTACATGTATTTCCTTAAATAGTGGTCAACACTTTTTTTTTTAAATCTATTTTATCTTGTTTGCTGAGGTCTCTGCTTTAGCTATCTTCCCCACCCCACTGACTTAGTATGTTATGTATTTCTATATTTCTAATGATTTATTTTATAACTGTAGTGTATGTGGTAAGTTATTACATTAATATTATTAAAATAGACAAACCTAAAATGTAAAACTCCTCTAGAATTGTATTCCAACTATCTTATGTTCTTTCTCAGACAGTGGGACTAAAGAGAATTGTATGAAATGCCTGATTTTTTTTCTGAGGTCAACTTCAGGAAGTTAAGGATG